AATTTTCTAACGTTTCTGTGGCTCATCTGGGTACTAAGTTTCCACCTGTGTCCCCTTGTTCGTGTCCCACCCGTGCTGAAGAGTTTGTCTTTGTCCACCCTGTCAATTTCCCTGAGAATTTTATAGGTGGTTATCATGTCTCCCCGTACTCTTCTGTTTTCCAGGGATGTGAGGTTCAGCTCCTTTAGCCTTTCCTCGTAGCTCAATCCTCTCAGTTCCGGGACGAGTCTGGTGGCATACCGCTGAATCTTCTCTAACTTTGTCTTGTGTTTAACTAGGTATGGACTCCAGGCTGGAGCTGCATACTCCAGGATTGGTCTTACATAAGAGGTATACAGGGTTCTGAAAGATTCCTAACTTACACAAGTTTCTAAAGGCAGTTCTTATGTTAGCCAGTCTAGTGTATTGAGCTTTGAGTACCTGGTTGCGCTAGGAATTATCTCCCCCAAAAAAGAACTGGGGAAACAAGAGCGTACCGAGTTGAGAGGTATGAGCTACGGGAATTAAACCTTACTTCGTTGGAAGACAGAAGAGTTTGGGGGGAACATGATCACCACATTCAAGATTCTCAAGGGAATCGATATATATGATAGAGCCCATGGCTCAGGAACCTGTACACCTGTTGATTGACAGTTGAGAGGCGGGACCAAAGAGCCAGAGTTCAACCCCCGGAAGCACAATTAGGTGAGCACACACACACACACACAGGTGTGTGTGTGTGTGTAAGTAAGACTAAACTGGAAAAGGTTCAAAGGTTTGCCACCAGACTAGTACCCGAGCTAAGGGGTATGAGCTACGAGGAGAGACTACGGGAATTAAACTCACTTTGCTGGAAGACAGAAGAGTTTGGGGGGAACATGATCACCACATTCAAGATTCTCAAGGGAATTGATATATATGATAGAGCCCATGGCTCAGGAACCTGTACACCTGTTGATTGACAGTTGAGAGGCGGGACCAAAGAGCCAGAGTTCAACCCCCGGAAGCACAATTAGGTGAGCACACACACACACACACAGGTGTGTGTGTGTGTAAGTAAGACTAAACTGGAAAAGGTTCAGTTTGCCACCAGACTAGTACCCGAGCTAAGGGGTATGAGCTACGAGGAGAGACTACGGGAATTAAACCTCACTTTGCTGGAAGACAGAAGAGTTAGGGGGAACATGATCACCACATTCAAGATTCTGAAGGGAATTGATAGGGTAGATAAAGACAGGCTATTTAACACAAGGAGCACACGCACAAGGGGACACAGGTGGAAACTGAGTGCCCAAATGAGCCCCAGAGATATTAGAAAGAACTTTTTTAGTGTCAGAGTGGTTGACAAATGGAATGCATTAGAAAGTGATGTGGTGGAGGCTGACTCCATACACAGTTTCAGGTGTAGATATGATAGAGGCCAATAGGCTCAGGAATCTGTACACATGTTGATTGACGGTTGAGAGGCGGGACCAAAGAGCCAGAGCTCAACCCCCGCAAACACAACTAGGTGAGTAAACACACACACACACACATTGACAGTTGATTGACTGTTGATTGACAGTTGAGAGGCGGGACCAAAGAGCCAGAGCTCAACCCCCGCAAGCACAACTAGGTGAGTACGCACACACACACACACACACACACACACACACACACACACACACACACACACACACACACACACACACACACACACACACACACACACACACACACACACACACACACACACACACACACACACACACACACACACACACACACACGAGAAAATCATATGAAGAATAGGAGAAGGCCTAAATTCAAAGGAGCATGTCAGTGATTTTAGGAGGATAGGAAAATATGAGGAAGACAAGAACCACCCCATAAGGGTGACGTTTAATGGAGTGAAGTATATGACAAGTGCTTCGGAATACCAGAAAACTGCAACGTGATGAGGATGGCGAACTTTGGCCAATAAGACAAGACCTCAAAAGAGGATAGAGAAAAGCTGAAAGTGATCCTCATTGAAGCAAAACTTCTGAATGGGGATAAAAATAAAGAAAAAAGGATTTTTTTTCTACAAGTGTCAGGGACTGGAAAGCTTGTGAAATGGTACATAAAGACATCAACAAAATCATTAAATGAAGGGGGTGTAAGGAACAAAGGGAAGGGGAACATACTCCTGTAAATAGTATATACCAACATAGATGGAGTGAGATCGAAAATATTGTAATTGAAGGATATAATTCAGCTCAAAGTCACAGATATTGTCACCTTAACAGAGATGAAACTTGAAAAAAATATTTTATATCGGGTCGTATTCCCAAGGGGCTACTCAGTTTGGTTTTGTGACAGGAAAACTAGGAAGGGGGGAGGAGTGGCAAGTGCTGGTGAAAGAACACCTGAAGGTAAGAGAATTAATGTTTGAAAACCCGGGAGATATTGACATAATGGCATTGCAGCTCTGGAATCAAGATGATAAGCTGATAATTTTAAATGCATACAGCCCACCAGCAAGCAACACATGGACAAAGGAAGAACTGGATGACAAACGAGAGGGCCTCATAATGGTCATGAGAGAGATTATGGTAAGAGCTGACAAAGATAAATCCCGATTGTTGGTACAGTAGGACTTCAACTTTAAGGCAATAGACTGGGAGGCCTACGAGGCAAGAACAGAGGACATTTGGACATGCAGATTTGTAAACCTCATCTTGGAGACATTCATGTATCAACACGTCAAGCAGGCCACAAGAATGAGGGAAGGGAATGTTCTGTCAGTACTAGATCTAGTATTCACCAGGAAAGAAGAAGAGGTATTTGGCATCCAGTACCTGCCTTCCGTGGAAAAGAGTGATCACGTCCTCTTGGACATTAAATACGCTATGCGATATAATCTAGTAGAGAATGGGGACAGTGAAACAGTTGTTAAACTAGATTTCAAGAGAGGACGTTATGGGGAACTTAAAAAAAATCTTGGGTGTAATTGGACAGACTTGTTGCTAGGCAAGGAAGTAAATGAAATGTATTCCAAATTTTGAACAATATATGATGAAGGCACACGAACATTCATACCAAAACAGACATGCAGACCTAGGAAACAGGGTTGATTCAACAGAAATTGTGAGAGAGCCAGAGATCAAAAGACACAAGCATGGAATCATTATAGAAAGAGGCCAAACCCCCAAACATACCAGCGATACAAAGATGCAAGAAACAACTACGTCAGTAAGGAGAGAGGCAGAGAGGAACTTTGAGAACGGTATAGCAGACAAATGTAAATCAGATCCAGGCTTTTTCTATAAATTCATTAAAAGCAAGCTGCAGGTAAAGGATAATATTCAGAGGTTGAAAATGGGGGACAGATACACGGAAAATGAAAAAGAAATGTTTGAAACATTAAACGAAAAGTTCCAAAGTGTGTTTGTACAAAATGAGATCTTCAGAGAACCAGACACAATAAGAATTCCAGAGAACAACACAGCGTATAGAGGTGTCTAGAGATGAAGTGGAAAATATGCTAAAGGAGCTCAGTAAGAACAAAGCAGTTGGTCCAGATGGAGTTTCACCATGGGTTCTGAGAGAATGTGCATCTGAGCTCAGCATTCTACTTCACCTGATCTTTCAGGCATCCCTGTTGGTCATCAAACAGCATTGTTTAAAAATAGTAAGATATGGGTTGACATTTAGGAGTAAGGTAGGTTACATGGAGTTAATTAGGTAGTACTTAGTTTTCATCTTAAACTGGTTGAGAGGTACAGCCTTTGACATGATTGGGAAGGTCATTCCACATTCTAGGTCCCTTGATTTGTAGACCATTTCTAGTTTGATTAAGTCGTACTCTTGTAATATCAAATAGGTATTTGTTTCTGGTGTGGTGCCCATGGGTTCTGTTACAACTTTCTAAGAAGCTTTTAAGGTCAGGATTGACATTACAATTCAGAGTTTTAAATATATAGAGTACACATGAGAGGATGTGCAGTGACTTAATATCTAACATATTCAGAGATTTGAGTAGGGGTACCGAGTGATGTCTGTAGGTCTGTAGTTGTTAACATCAGTGAGATCACCACATTTGTGGACAGGGGTAACTCTCGCTTTTTTTTTAGAATATCTGAAAAGGTTTGGAGTTCAAGTGACTTGTTGAAGAGCAATGCAATAGCAGGAGCTAAAGATCTGGAGGGTTTTTTGTAAATTAAAGTTGGTATCTCCTCAAGGGCACTAGACTTGGTTTTAAGGGAAAGGATTATCTCATTAACATCAGTGGAATTTGCAGGCGTTAGGTACAGAGACTGTGGATAGTTACCTGTAAGATAGTCCTGAACATCAGTACTGGAAGATGGAATATCATTTGCAAGGGATGACCCAATGGAAGAGAAGAACCTATTGAACTCAATAGCAGTATCAGAGGCTGTAAGCTGACCATCGTTATTAGACAGGAGTATTGGTTTGTTATTTAAAATCTTCTTTGATCCCAATATTTGTGAAATTCTGCTCCATGTTTTCTTAATGTTGCCCTTTGTTTGGGTAAATTTATCTTCGTAGTATTTAGTTTTGACTCTTCTAATTATTTTAGATAACTCATAATTATTTAGAAAACTGTGCTAATGGACAAAATTCTCACACTTATGGTAGGTAATTTTAACTCTGATCTCATATTAACTATTTTCGTGGACTTTGGAGCCCAAAGGATGAGACGCATAGCCTTCTTGCATAAAACAAAAAAGTAAAAAATAAAAATAAAATATCAAACTTGGCGGGCAGGTGACGTCATTATCCGGGTCTCCCTCCAGCTGATCGCAGAAAATGTAAACACGAGCTGAGTAAGGCAGATAGCAGAGTGTTATGACTTTCACCACAGCTCGAGGCTCTCGCTACCTTTCTCCTAGTGTGACACACATCTGCACGTTTATTTACAGTATGTGAAAGGTTAGTCGGCTATCTGGCTTCATATTCATTTTCGGCTGTCTCCTTATAAAGGCAATGTTTTACATTAGAACATTACACCATGTCGTGACATGCCAGAAGAAATGACAAAGTTTCAAGGTCGATAGTGTTGACTACGCACAAGACACGAGCCTTGGCGACCAAGGCGAGCACAGCCACGGTGGGAACACCAGTGTGTCATCTTAGCTCGAGGAGGACCTCCATACTGCCCCCTCTCATCTTCACCTCCCTCATAACTGTTCCTGGTAGAATGCCAAATTGATGTGATTTTGCAAGGTCCTTAATTTAAATTATATATACTGTAAAGTATATATTATTTTTAGTATTCTGTTAAATATATTGTATTTATTTTTACCACTGAATAATACAAAATACAAGACTAGCTAAAAAATATCAAATGATCGCTCCAGAATTGATTTTACCCTCTCCTTTCTGCTCTCTCTCTGCCTTGGGTTATAATTATTTTTTTATGATCATAAAGCAGTATTATCCCATACTAAAGTCACACCATCATTATGAGAGTGTCAGTTTTGGCATTCAGGTTGTGTGAGTTTGGAACGTTGTGAAAAACATTCTTATATTAAATTCTAGATCATTCTTGGATCTGTGAGTCACACAACATTTTATCAGCTTGATTGTTTCTTCATTGTAGTTATTGTGTCGGTAGTGAGACTTGCAAGTCTTTGTTGTGAGTGGTTAGTGTCGGTAGCGAGACTTGCAAGTCTTTGTTGTGAATGGTTAGTGTCGGTAGTGAGACTTGCAAGTCTTTGTTGTGTGCGGTTAGTGTCGGTAGTGAGACTTGCAAGTCTTTGTTGTGTGCGGTTAGTGTCGGTAGTGAGACTTGCAAGTCTTTGCTGTGAATGGTTAGTGTCAGTAGTGAGACAGGCGAGTCTTTGTTGTGAGCGCTTAGTGTCAGTAGTGAGATTACCTGATTTACCTGAGAGACATTAACCCTGGTGGCTTCGGCAAGGACATGAAACTGGTGGCTTGTCGAAAGTTTCCTTTCCCCCTTTTGACTTGCAAGTCTTTGTTGCAAAGATTATCAAGTCTTTGCTGTGAGCAGTTAGTGTCAGTAAGAGACTTGCAAATGATGGAAATGGCAGCGAGTGTGGCTCAATAATCCTCAATAATAAATGTGGCTAAATAAAAACAAAAATATCATTATACATTAATTTTTGTATATGAAATGATAGTTACATTCAAAAGTATAGTAAATTATTAAAAAAAATCTACCTTATTTTGGTCTGGGCAGTGATCAACATTCCTTACGACATTCATCAGCATTACTGTATGTTGTAATGGGAGCTAGGACCAAACTAATTTATTTTTTCATGTGAAATATATCCAAAAGTATTGTACAGCGGAACCTCGGTTTTCGAATGCCCTTATTTTTTAATTTTTCAGTACTCGAGCTCAATTTCTTCCAAAAATTTGACTCGGTACTCGAAGTTTGCCTCTGTGCTTGAGTTTGTTGATATACGTATGGGCCTACCGAGCATGTGTCGTGCTTCAGTTTACCAGTGTCACCCGCCTAGTGATGACTGCGCTTGAATTCTTTGTGAAGAATTTAATTGTTTTGGTGCTTTTTTGGTTTCTGAACATAAAAGTTCTTATTATATATCATGCCATAGGTTCCAAGAAAGTCAGTGGTAAAGTTCAACCAAAGAAAATGGTTGTGAGGATGAAGATAGAAGAAAACAAGAGATCATTCAAAGTAAGACAATGTGACGTCTCACTACAGACAAGTGTTTAAACATAGGGAAAATGAAGTGTCTAGACAGATTCTTAGTAAGACAATCAAGCAGTGAGCCACAACCAGGTCCTAGTGGTATGCCTGCAAAATGTAAGTGTGTGTGTTCCCCAGAAATGTCATCACTGCTATCATAATGGAAGGGGACTCCCCTTCCAAACACTAACACCTCTCCTCCTCACTGTCTTCCATATGCCAACAAGAGTCCTCAGTAAAGGTAAGATATACTTGTACATACTGTAGTATGAAATATAAGTACATACATAGTAGTATGTATAAAATGTATTTTTAAGTTGATATTTTTGTGGGTGTGGAACAGATTAATTCAATTTACATTATTTCTTATGGGAAAATTCGTTTCGGTTTTAAAATTTTAGGTTTTCGAACTGTCACTGGGAACGGATTAAATTCGAAAACGGAGGTACCACTGTATTTGAATGAATTCTTAATTATATAAACTGAGATCTTTGTGTTGGCCTAGTTACGGGTACAATTGTCATATGAAGTTAGAGACCAGGAGCTGAAAGACTTCCAACTCCATATTAATTTGTTACCTCTCATGATACCTAGCAGACCCCATTGAACTATTGGAACCATCTGAAGAGCACACAAGTTACAGCCCCGCTCCTGTGCCAGGTAAGTCCACTACGGGCTCACCATAGCCCGTGCTACTTGGAACTTTTTGTTCCTAGTAGCTGAATCTATAACATCTAAAGAGCATCGGTATTCAAACACTAACACAAAACATAAATGGTCCTTTGATAATGACCACATTGTAGTAGATGATCAACAGATGATGACGACCACACTTTGAGGGTTAACATAGATGAAAGTTGTGGTTAAGTGTCATGTGCATTTCCCATTTCTCTCAAGACACTAATCACCTTAAATCTCGAAGCCCTTGTAAGTCTAACTTTTCATTTTTTTCCCCATTTAGTTAGAACTCTATAGTAGTAGTTAAGACTTATTCTCGAGCTCTGGAATACAAAAATTTCTTTTCAATACAGTTCTCTAGTGGAATATAGGAGGACATTGTATAGAGGTACACTTGACAAATGGTAGATAGAAATAATATTTTGAAATGTTGTTCAGTGTTAGATATTGAATGGGGGAGAAAGTCAATAGTGGATTTTGGGGAAATAGACTAGGAGGGGAAATGAAGCTTCAGAAAAGACAAAACATTGAAATACAACAAGGTTTGGTCAAATGTGAGTACAGTATAACAAGACCTATGGGTTATTGCCAGAACACAAGTAGAGCTACTCAAGAGGCAATTGGTCAAATTTCTGCAGGAAGTGCCTGATCAGCCAAGTTACAATGCATATGTTGGTCTTTTGGCTGTGGCAAGCAATAACTTGGCTGATCAAGTTATTACCAGACAAACCTGGCTCGAGGTTAGGCTTGGGAAGGGAAAGAAACCTTTCAAAACTGATAAGAGGTAAACTACAGGTAAATGAAATGTTACATCAGATATTTAGGTGAATATAGAGTGTAAAAGAGGTACGAGGGTGTCTGCTTAGAAATATAATAAATGCTTCTGTATTAGGTGTTGTGATTATGCTGTCTGGTGTAGGTTGGGGATAAAACTCTTGAAGATTGGTATTTAAATCATTGGTCATTTTGTTCTTAAAAAGCAGGACTTAGTGTGTGTAGATTTGGCAACCTTAAACATAGGAATGTTCAGAGACCTCATTCTTCACCAAGTGATTTATATGGAGTACTGTATTATGTTCTTAAACTTTATTAACAATATCTTAAAGGGTTTTAATATTCGTTTACAGCAATCCAGTGACCTGATAGTGGATTATAATACCAAGGACTTCAGATGATTCCATACCAGGTGACCTGACACTGGATTACGGTTTAATGTAGGTGAATATTGCAACATGTTTAAAGATGTAAAGAAAAGTTGGCTCAATAAAAATATACAGTACTGAACATGCTCATACTGGTGAAACTTGTTTAAAAAATAGTGATACAACTATGTGGGCAACTACTGGTTCCAAGGTGGATGATCTCTTGGGCTGGGTTGAAACAGCAGCACGGGGCCTGCTGGGGGTGGTACTGTCTAATTTGGTACAGTATTACATCTGCATTTTGGTATAATTATTTTTAGATAAACTTATTCCTTTTATTCATAAAAGGTTTTCCAAAATTTTTGTATACAATTTTATTCCACTTACAAACAGAAAAGAATATGCTGAATTAGTGTCTCAGGACTGACAATACTGTACTACACTGGTCTGAAACTCTGTGAATAGTCTCCTCCTTGAAGTTACCTGTATATTTATATGAAAGTAGTAGTAGAAAGTAGTACCATCCTATCCCTCAGCATGGGCTGAGGGTTAGGATGTGGGGGTGGGGGGGGGGTGGGGGTGAAAACATACACTTTAGATACTTGTAACAATGAGAATGAACTGGATAAGCAACACTTGGTAATTATCTCATGTGACATGCGAAGTTGGGTTCAAGTACAGATCACTCCTGTCATGTACTCTGCTCAGCAGTCGCCCCGGGTAAGCGAGTCAATCATTTATGCAGACCAAAGTTAACTTAAGGAGCCAGATGTATATGAATCTCAACCCAATTTTTCCAACAGGTATGCAGTGCAGTACATCCATAAAATTGGCATTCAAATAAAAGATTTATGAATGTATTTATTTTTACATTGAGACGAAGCTTCAAATAGTATAATGCTGCTTCTGGATAGAATGAGGAAGTATGTGCTTTGCAATTACTGTATTGGAATTTAATTTTTTCAAGGTCGGGAAGCTTGGAGTACGCTACAGTGTTTGTAACGATGGAACCCCGAAGGGGTCCCGTAAGCAGCAATGTTCCAGGAGTTGCTCACAGTATCAGAATAGAAGGCTCTGGTGGTTTGTCCAGGATCCCTGCAAGTGAGTTAAGCTATTATTTCTAACAATTATTATTAAGTGAGACATTTTATTAGTATCATTTTGGCCTTCCTTGGGCTTTTTAAGTGGTTAGGTCAGGTAATATGTGAGGTGGGCAGTCAGTAATTTGTATTCATGTAGGTGCTTGCTGCTGGTGGCTGCAAGCACCGATAGTTGTCTAACTCACAGGTACCTATGCCTCTGTTCACCTAGCAGTAAATCAGGTGAAAGGAAATGTGCATTTCTTTCCTACTTGAGGATTCAACCCAGGTTCCTTGATTGCAATTTCAGACTGAAGACCACTGTGTTTTTACACAGTTATGAAATGTTGAGGTGTCCTGGCTGTGCATAGTCCGTCCATGGGAACAGCAAAACCTCGTCTAAAGGAGCAAATAAATTCCTGTTCAGAAAGGCACTTTTCATACATGTTTAATACATTGTATGAATTTTTATATAAGATTATGAAGAAAATACATCACAGATGATGACAAAATTGGAATGATACTCTATCTCGTAACCGAAAGTCTGTTACAGTATATGTCAGAAACAACTCTTTTTGCCAGATGGATAATTGATCTTATTTTCTGCATGACTAAAGACAATAACATGTATTTACCTTTCATACTATTGTTGAACATGCTACTGGACCTGCAGCCAATTTTTATGTCCTGAAAAATGTCAGCAAAGGAAAGATCTAACTCTTGGGATATTTGGAGGTGTATATGAAAAGCTGGAATGATGAGAGGCGGGGTAAACTGTACGGCTGGTAGGATGCAGTTGGTATTGGTGGCGTGTCTCGGGAAGTATAGCTAGCCTCAAAGAGTGTCCATCAGTCAGGAAGAGATTCAGCTAGCCTCAAAGAGTGTCCATCAGTCAGGAAAAGATTTAGGTATTCTTAAAAATATCAATGAACACCTCCACCATGGAAGCCGCTAACACTGTTCATCTATGCTACTTGTATCAGATGCATCATCACTGAACGCAGAAAACGATTCATCTATGTATCATCTATATACATTAGAGATGGCAAGGGTGGGGCTCAGAGCTACACCTGGATACGCTCGCTGTATCATCCTCATAGGTGCTGTATCACAGGCATCCGACCGTTGTGTTAAGCCCTTATTGCGCCTAGCTTCACCAATGTTATGACCCTTATGTTCTTCAAACAATAGGGTCTGAATTGCACTGACTGAGCACAGTCTTTCAACACCGTGTGGGACAGGTGTTTGAGAGCCAGAGGCACGTGTGATACAAATGGTTGCTCACGCACTACTAACCCAGCCAGCAGCCCTTGTCTTTCATATTCGTTTGTAGATGTTACATTATTTTACTTTTTTCTTTTCATATGGTAGATCTGTATTCAAAAGTGTGAAAAAAATTGTCTACCCTTATTTTAGTCTTGAGCAGTGGTAAACGTTCCTTCTAGCATAAGTTAGCATTACACTTTGATAAGTGCCAAAACCAAACAAAATTAATATTTTACTTTCTTCACATGGAAATATATTTGAAAGTACTGTAATGAATCTGCATGCAAAAGTTAAAAGCATATCAAATAAATATACTGTATATAATGAAGATCTTTGCTGGCCCTGGTAAATGATACAATCATAGTATGATAGGAAACCAGGGGCTGACTTCAGATTATTTTGTGGCATTCTATGACTGCTAGAAGACGCCATTGAACTATTACAGGTTAGAACCACATTGGCAGCATTCACACAGACACAAAATGTAAATAGTTTTATGACGACCACATTGCCTTATATGATGAATGTGTGGTGATGACTGCATTTTGAGAGTTAAAACATCACAGTTATAAGTGCATAGGAAAAATTTACTTAGGGAGTTGAGCTTTATGTTATAATCTTGTATAAACACCTTATAATGTGAATGCAGTTCTTAGAGCTTATAAGCTACAGCAATTAATCTTATAATGCTAATAATTTAATTAAGGCTGTGTCACATGCTAATGAAATATTTTTCCATGCACTTGCCCATGATGGATGTATTGTTTTGATTCCAAATTGTTTTGTATCTAATTCATGTTGAATTCACTAAAATGTACATAATGGATTATAAACAAAAGTGATGGATTATCAAAACACATGACTGCTATTTCCATTACTACCAAGGAAATATGACAGCTATTTGCAGTACACAAAATTTGTACACAATATTTGGAAAAGGCTGTAAAACAATCTGCGAAAGAGGATGAAATTAACGAGTTTGTAAAAGTGTAACATTTTAATACAATACTAGTACAGTAATGCTGAAATAAACTAACATTTGTTATTTTTATATTCGTATTTTGTTCGGCTAATAAATTTGTGTATGTGAAAGTTTTGTCCACTTCAGGTTTATATTTATGTATTGAATAAGTCAATCTTCTTCAGGTTTGTCAGTACCCGTCGCTCCTTCCGCTAGTTCTGCCATCATGAGCTCCTTGGCCTCATGCACAGCAGATGGCCATTATGACCACTCCTTCAATTCACTGTCATCCCTCCGTAAGACCTTAACACACTCTTGTTCCAAACCTATGGGTTTGATCAGTTGTATTCATTATGCAACGTTGGATCACCTTCATCCGATTTTATTATTTATTTAGACATGGTGTAACATGCAGGGATTCCAGGCATAGGCATATAATAAGGTATTCCTTTAGAGGACGGTTTTCCCCACGGTGCACGTTTAGCTTCGGTTGTCAAGATTGTTCCATATTTAATTTTGTATCCTTCATGTAGATTACAACTGACCTTTATATTAGGTTGCTGTTTGTTATAAAATTCTTGGAGGATTCAAGCAAAATGTTGTGCCTCCAGGGGCTGAACTGAGCCTTAATTTGCACCTCCCTCCCCTTCCCTCCTATGTATTACTTTTGTTACCCTGAACAAGTTAATGAATTGTTTTAGTAGTCCTTTAGGATAGCATTACATGAAAATACATTCATTATGAAAAATTTGTTATGTAAGTATGAAATTAATAAATATTGATCATGTAGACATAAATTTATTATATAAAAAATGTTATCACAATCATGAAATTGATCCGTGAAGAGGAAAATTATATATTATACATCCAAAGCTGAAAATTACTAGAGGTATGAAAATAGGCTTAAATAAATTATAATAGAGTACTGTATTGCACTTGATTAGACACCATAAATCTAGCATATTGTGCTACAGAGTCTTGGTTAACTGCACTTGACATGAGAGGATTAGTTATCTTAAATGTAACAAAGTGCTCTAAAGAAACCCAATTAAATCACAATACAATGTACTGTATATAGCTTTACAAATTCACAAAATTGTTGTTTAAAAACCATCAGTTACCCCATAGCACCTTAAGTAACTCTTGGATGGTTTGAAAATATCCTGATGCTGGTACCTAGAATATCTCCTATATAATCCATGTTTAAAGGACACAGCAAATCATACTTTGGGAAACAACTAAATTACTGCTTGTAAATGAGCCTTTTTGCTTGCACAATGTGTACCTTTCTGTGGGGAGCCCCTACGGCTCCTTGGAGCTATCGGGCTAATGTTTGATATATTAGACTGGGGCATTAGTCTATGGAGTTCAGCCTACCAGGTATCACGAGCCAGAACCTGGCCCCCTCAGAGAGGTTTCAGGGAGCAATGGCCCAGGAACCCCCCCCTTCCCCATGTGGTTGGAGTGTTTACCTTATCTGCCATTGACTGGGTTTGGGCACCCAGAAAGGTAGGCATAACAAAACAAACCCCACATGGTAAGGAAAGTACAAAGAAAAACTGAAAAGAGAGGCAGAACTCCCTCCAATCCCAAGGAAACAAGCAAACATCACACTTCACTGCCACGTCCCCTCCCAAAGAGGAGGAGTGGGGCGCTCTCGACCTCCCCGCGCTGACTACCTAGCACTCCAGTTTGTTCACTAACGTGGTCCAGGGTGGACGTCTTCTCTGGCCTTGATTTCCAAGGCGGTGTTTTGCTTTCGTGGCAACCTCTGCAGTGTTGTTGTGTGTGGTGGTCAGTTGTCCTCATCAGTGCTGGGACTGCATGTGCTTGGGGACATCCTTCCCTAGGCACCCTGTGATTACTGTACTGCTCTCGCGTGTTAGGGTTCCCTTCCCTGGTGCGTTCGGGAAACCATTTCCGTGGGGGTTTTTGTTGCTCGGCATTTACCCCGCCCTTGGGGCCAGCTGGGATTTTGTGACCCTTGTTTGGCCTTGGGTGGGGAGTGGTATTGTGCTGGTTGGGGCATCAAGGTGTTGTGCAGCCTCCCTACCTACGCGGCGGCCGGTTCCTGTTTCCTCTGGGGATGTTGTACTTTTGTGGGTTTTTTCTTTTGTATTTTGTTTTATTGCCTGGTGGGGATCTACCTGTTGTGGCTATAGTTCCACTTATAATTTTTGAGTGGGCCTCTGCTAGGCCCCCATGATTGTACACGTTGCAGGGATTTCAGTGTTTTGATATCCCCCTTGTTAGCTTTGGGTCTTGCCTTGTTAGCAATACCTTACCCGGGCTTCCAATAGCAGTCGGCCTCGGGCCTTGGAAAACCCTGTCGGGTCTTAGTGGACCTATGGATGCGTCTTCCAAGTTCCAGCTCACTTCATGCGGGTTCGAAGGTTGCTGTATGTCCTTGTGTCAGGGTGACAGTCACCTATTTTTGCCTCTGTCATGCTGCCTGTTGGGTCAATGATGCCTTTCACCTGGAGTTTGCAAACCGTGTTCTCTGCTGGTTCTCCAGTACTATTCTGATGACATTGCTATTAGGGTACGGGCAGCATAAACATTACATGCTAGGTTTAGGTTGCTGCAATGCGCAAGGTCCACCTGAGCCATCCTGGTTCTTGGACAGGGTACTCTATCTTTCCTCTCCTCGGTTTGTGGTGGCCCCTTCAGTTCAAAATTGTTTTTCTAAGGCTCTGTTTCTGTTGGCATTGGCCTTTGGCGAGTCGGGTCAGTTAGCTTCATGCTCTCCTCCGACACAGGGGGTTTCTGCTCTTTTGGTCCCTGGTGGTAGGTTTGTTCGGTAGCAGCCTTCTTCTTTTCTGGCAAATAATGAGACGGCTGCTTTTCGGAGGGGTCCTTGGGTCATTGATGCTTGGTTAGTCAGGCTGGGGGTGCATCATATGTTGTGTCCTGTTACGGCTTTTCAGCATTATCTGTGCGCTTCGGCTTTGGTGGCTGGGAATGCGCTTTGGATTAATCTGGTTTCCCTTGTTCCCTGTTCCATTGCTTGGGTCTCCCAGGTTGTCCGCAAGGTTATTAAGTCTAGCCAGCCTGTGGTCTATCCTTGTGTCTAAGATGTTAGGAAGTTTGCTGTGTTGGCTGCCATATTTGGCAATATGACCTGGGTTGATATTCGGGCGCGGGGATTTTGGAAGTCGAACAGGGTCCTAGCCACCCGTTATTTGGTTAACTTTCCTACTCCTGGGTGTGTCTGTGTTGTTTTGGATCGCAGGTTGCAGCCAGTTGTCTCGACTTCACGTTGAGGAGTATGTGGTGGCTACCTCCCGGGTAAGTCCCCCTTTTCTTATTTTTGTTATCTTTGGGTATGTAGCTCCAGGGAGCCGTTGGGGCTCCCCACAGAAAACCAGCATTGAATGTAATGAAACGCTATTTTCTGGGTGAGTCTCGGAGGCTTCCTGGCAACCCCCCTCTCTCCAGTCGGCAGTTTTTCACGTTGTTTGATGCTTAGCTTCCGAACTGGAGTGGTGGGTAGCCGGCTCTGGGAGATCTGGGGCTCCCCCCTTCCCCACTCGGGGAGGAGAGGACTGCGCAGACAAACGGCGCGGCGGTGGAGTGTGATGTTTGTTTGTTTCCTTGGGATTGGAGGAAATTCTCTCTTTTTGGTGTTTAGTTGTAATTTTCTTACCATGTGGGGTTTGTTTTGTTATGCCTACCTTTCTGGGTGCCTAACCATGGTTGATAAGGAAAACCTCCAACCATGGGGGATTTTCCAGGGTCATTGCTCCCTGGAACCTCTCTCGGGGGGGAGGGGGGGGCCAAGTTCTGGCTCATGGTCCCCGGTAGGCTGAACTAATGCCCCAGTCTAATATATCACACATTAAGCCCGATAGCTCCAGGGAGCCTCCGGGGTCTCGCCGAAAAATGGCGTTTCATTACATTGAACGCTGGTTTTTTGCCTCCTTTTCGATTATGATTGCTTCAATCCCCCTAAAATCCTGCCCCACACACTGCCTTGTTGTCCATATCTGGTTGGTGCTGTTGCACTAGGAATAGTCAGATATACGGGAGGGGAGCAAGCCACACATGCTCTCTCTACTGTATGTATTTCATCATGTTGTTAAATCTGAAAATATTAATTGAAAGCCATTGTGCCTCAGGATGATGGGCAATGGCCAAGTTTCAATTATTAATGTATATAGTATATAATGATAGATTTAATTACCGGTATATGCATCTTGCCCTCAGAGAGCATCACTCCTGACCTTCTGAACAATGAACTACGAAGTGTGGATTTGGGACCTCTTGAAAAGGAATGCTTTAAACTTATAAATGAAAAAGAAGAGCTTCAGGTAAGTTTGTTCAATAATTTTTTCAGGTTGGTTTTCTTTGGCATCTGTATTAAGAAGTATGAGAATTTTTAATAAGAATAGAGGAAACTGCAGAAGGTCTATTGACCCCATACAAAATAGCTCCTATTTATATGCACCCAAACTCACATATATAAAGTATGCCTAACATATGCTTGAAATCATCAATTGGAAAAAGTTTAGTGCATGTGACCTTGAATGAGTGAGGGAGCTGCCAGCTGACTGTGTGTAGCGACGACTCTTAGTGCCTGAACTAACTATATCAGCTTAGTTGTACAGTTGTGGGTGAACAAAACATATACGTACAGTACTTATATATAACGTCTGTATATAGTGTAATAACATTACAAACGGTATTGTTGGGGGAGAAAGTTTAGTGCGTGTGACCTTGAATGAGTGAGGGAGCTGCCAGCTGACTGTGTGTGTAGCGACGACTCTTAGTGCCTGAACTAACTATATCAGCTTAGTTGTACAGTTGTGGTAAACAAAACATGTAGATACTTATACGTATATAACGTCTGTATATTGTGAATAAAATATAAAACAGGATGGTGGGAGAAGAAAGTGGGCGAGTGAGGCGTTGAGGGAGTGGTAACGAGTGGCTGGTCGGTTGTGTGGCGGTCACTCCTCGTTGCTTTTTGACTCTCATTACCAACTTAGTGGTTCGTTATGGTGAACAAAACATGCAGATACTTATATATAACATGTGTATAGAGTGTAATAACAGCAAAACTATTTGTTTATTGTTTTATGAACATAATTGAATCACTAATCACTCTTGTACAAGAATGTAACAACTAATATGCACATCATACTTTTGAGTATAGTGATTATTCACCACTTTTATTATAGAAATATATCGCAATACACACTATTGAATAATATTACTGCAAAAAACTAAGAAAAAATCAATCAGAGACATTGAAATAATTAAGTGATAATATCTTTGTGGCAACTCCCACCTGTCAGTGCGGGTGATGCTGACTGGCTCTGACGACCGCTCTGTCAATGCCCACTGTTTGCCAGACTTCCTCGGTCTATTGCTCCCAAAATATGTCGCCTACAATTTTTTTATTATTTTTTCTGTGCTCAGGGAACACAAATTAACATTTTTAAAAGACGAAATAATTTTTTAGAATTTTTGTTCTTGCGCACAGGGGTGTAAATCTCCTCAGGACCCCTTAGCAGCTTAAGGGTTAATACTAGATTTCCGATATCATTGAATAATTCTTAAATATTCCCATTTAACCATACTCTAATGGTAAGCCATAAAAAAAGTAATTTTAATTTACAAAAATTTATATCTATTCTACTGGTTATCCATAATGCATATCTGTAGGCACTGTTTTGATGGGCAGAGACATATCACTGACCTCTGGTCTGCCAATAGTCAGCAGACTACTGCCTTCATGAACAGATGCCTACATCTCTTTTTTTTTTATATAATGTGTCTCTCTAGAAACTATCATAATAATAATAATAATAATAATAATAATAATAATAATAATATATTTGCAAGAAGGTACAATAGGTTGGTAAAATTATGCAAGATTGGTATTTTTACATTCATGCAAAGCCACTAACACGCATTTCATTTCGGCCATCGACTCTACACAAATTACTACATACCCGAGATCGGGTTTGTAATGGCTTGCTCTGGAATATAAGGCTTGTCCAACTTTTGAACTCTCAGTCATCTCATTTATTGATGTTCTTCACACATTAATTTATCTAATTTGGTACTTTCATTTTGTAGGTGAAAAATGCTAGCGAGTTACTGAAAAAAATGGGTTGTGCCCGGGAGAAGGACCTTCAGGTGAAAGTGGTTTCCATATTTGGTAACACTGGTGAAGGCAAGTCATATACCCTCAATCAGATATTCTTCAAAGGTGCTGAAGTTTTCAAGTAAGTACACAGTCTATTTTTGTCAAATTGATTACATTTAACTTGTTACATTTAACATTTAAGACTACTCAATAGCTCGGTCAATAGAGCTTCGGCCTCTCACATGTGGAGTCCACGGTTTGAGTCTCCTAGAGCCCAGGTGAATGGAATGTTTATTTCCACGGAAGTGTGGATGACAATGAAGCATGTTGGTGTTGCACTTTGTGTCGTATACAAGTCCATGTTATCTTTGGGTTGAATTGGCTGCCTTGAAAGTCTAACCAAATAATGAAACTGTGCAGTTAACCTGGGCAATTTGCCTAGTACAAGAAACTCTGTACTTGAGCCCCAATCAAGCAACATCATAAGCAGTGAGGTGAGAAGAGGACTATAGCATTATTGAAATCCTCACCTGACACTGGTTATATGCATGTGGATGAAAATGCAGCATCCAATAGAAAGAATTCAGGCAGTATGAATGATGAGTGCTGGGATTAAAAAAAAAAATCTAGAAAACTACAAATATCAAAATATAGCTTGGAACTGGGAGGGGTGAATTCCAGCACTACTAAGAATCTTGCATGATAGATCCTGACATACCAAGTCAACCCCCTCCCCATTCACCATGGATGATGAATGGCTTATGCAGCGTGTGGCTAAACAAAAGGTAAAACAAGGCACTTAACAGCTGAAAGTGAAATAAAAAATACCTTGTACACGTGCAAATGAGAAACAAAAAACTGACCCTTAGTGTGTGAGAATGGAAGCAAGGCACCAAGGCCACAGAGCTTGAACAAATTCCTTAGGTGCAACCAAGGCAGTGGTACAGCTCTAAAGGGCCCAAACCCCACACAAACCAATTCCAGGTATCTTCAGAGAAGTTATCTTGGGTTCTCTGGTTTTATGCAGTTGCCCCAAGGGTAGGAAACCCTGAAACATAGTTGCAGTTAAACAACTTGGGCAACAGTCTCAAGGAAACCAGAGAAACTTAATGAACTCTGTAGTGGCAGATTTTGTTAAGTAGATGGGTAGCTCTCAGTACTAAAAGTGAAGATAGTTGGCTCCTCTGACCTTGTGGTGACACAAGGTATGTAACCTTTGATCTATTAACAGTTGTTAGCAGAGTGATAATTGACTGTACTGTATTAGTTCTAGGTAATTTGTCTGTATAACAAATGTGAATCGTTATTTTTTTCTTTGTATTATAGCATTGGTACTTAGTGTGTCAGCTTTAGTCAGACTTCCTACTGACCCGCTTCACATGATGTGTAACAGGACCTCTTGCAAAGATCATGTCATTATGGGATAAGTCATGAGCACTTGGTAGCTCCTGGCTATGAGCCTTGTGGTGACACATTTCAGGAACAGTCTATGTACCACCTTTGATCTATATTTGCTATTAGACATTTTCCTATTTGCAAATAATTAAATATTAAAAGGAAAAAATACATAGTGTTTTAAATAAACTTTGCCACCCTGGAAAACATTTCATGGTCTGGACATGTCCAGTGTCAGCAGCACTGGGCTCGCCCACAGCAAATAAGTTGCCTAAACTAATGGTATTGTTTCATTTATACTAAGGTATAAATTCAGTAAAACATTTATAAACAAACAAATTTGCATTGTATTTAAAGTATATTTATTCCATTCTAAGCTCGCTTATCCGGACTATAATGAATATAACTCCCTCACCGGATAAGCCAGACTTCTGGATAAGCAGAATTCTTTCGGGGAAAGTTAAAAAATTACCATATTCACAATTTTTTGTGCCCAAGCAACTTAATTTGAACTTCGACAAACACTATAAATCAAACATATAATTTAAAAGTGAAATCAAAGCTTACCTTGTTGTAGTTTGTCTTCTTGTTTGATACTGTAGATCTTGAAATGCATAATCCTTGAACATTTATGTAACCTAATATCTGGTTATCTGGATTTCTGTCTGGATATGGCGAAGGTTTGCCATAAAATTATCTGGACTTGATTTAAACTTTATGCCTGTCTGTGGTATCCGGTGTCAAACCTCCGGTTATCCGGATTACTATCCAGATATTGTGAATTGTTATGCTATTATCAGGTTATATTATTATTAGCCAATTATCCGGTTTAACGGAATCCAGATAAGCGAGCTCATGTAGTATGTATCATAATTTGAATTCCAGTTGGACGATCTGATAGGAAAATGAGTTCCTTATTAGGATGCATTCATTATGGAGAGGTATGGATTTTGAAGGCTGCACTATACTCTGGCATGCTTTCTCTCTCTCCCTTCCTCCCTCCCTGCTAACTCTGCCATGTGCACATACAGGAACATGGCTTCAGCCTCTTATCTCTAAATATACCTTAAATTATGTGAACAATTTCTTATTGAAGGAATTTTCATGTGTAAGATTCAAAATGATCAAATTTGAATATATTTTTGCAGGACCAGTTCAAATCAAACCTCGTGCACTCTGGGGGTGTGGGGAGCTTACAATGCTACTAACAAAGCGCTAGTCTTGGACACAGAAGGCATGCTTGGCATTAGCAACAGTTCTAAACAACGGAAACGCCTCTTACTCAAGGTCTAGTATTTTTTTTAATAATATTTTTAAATCAATCAATTGTAACCTTAAGTGTTATTTGCTTGGGTTTCTGTGTACAGGACAGTACTGTACAATATAATGATTTAGTTCTCACTTCATTAAGTTTACATATTTCCTCAAAGCACAATGTGAATACAGTATTTAGTTTAATTTTTATCAGGAGCCCTTCAAAATGGATTATATCCTCTTTTGAGTGATATGAATAACTATTTTTTATATTATTTTTCCTCAGAGTGCATGTTTTGATGAAATATTGAATTCAATTTCCTAGGTTGATGACCCAGTTTATTTTCTGGTGCCCTTGCAGTATTTATTCTCTTTTCTTCCATGAACTTTATCTTCATTATCATTCCTACACATGTCATGACCCTGATCTTCCTTTGTTTTGCACTATATATTTCATGGGGGTTACAGTGCATAAAAGATCACTTACATTCATCAATACTATTCATCCTTAAGCCTCTGTATCATAAAATATATTTTTCTGGATGCTTAATGTACCAAACAAATTAAGATTTCTAATGGTTTTATCAGTTTATTTTTGCTTGTCTCACATCTTTTACTGGCTTGAGTAGATTGTAAAACACAGTACATTTCTCTCCAAGACCTGCTTGGTTATATGACTTGCCTCTAAGCCATTACCTGCTTCTGCAAAAGTTTTTTCTGGTCTTATTTGCCCTTTTGTCCAGTCTGTACCCACTTTCCTCCTCTCTTTTTGTGTTGCTTATTTAGCTGTCTTCCCTTCCTCTTCCACTGTCTTTAACCTGTTGCATTCAGCTCTTTCTCATATGAAAACAGTGGTTGCTGTGGAGAATAAAGATGACTATGAAAAAAGGACGGGAAAATTTTAGGTATGAAATTCTCTGTGAAAATAACTACGCTCGGTAATTTGACTCGGCTAGGACCCACCCTCATTCAAGTTAGTCAAATTTCTTACCAGCAAGGTTAAAAAATTAACAAATTCATAATTTTCAGAGGAGAGCCCCTATAGCTCCCTGGAGCTTATCGGTCTGATGTATTTTATATTAGACAGAGACATTAGCTATGGAGTTCAGACCTACCAGGGACCATGAGCTGGAACCTGGCCCCTTCAGAGAGGTTTCAGGGAGCAATGGTCCTGGAATTCCCCCCCTCTCCTGTGGTTGGGGTTTTTCCTTATCTGCCATCGACTGGGGTTACACACCCAGAAAGGTAGGCATAACAAAACAAACTCCACATGGTAAGAAACTAACATTAAAACCAAACAGAGAGGTAGAACTCCCTTCAATTCCAAGGAAACAAGCAAATATAACACACTACTGCCGCGCCGCTCATCTGCGCAGCCCTCCCCTCCCCAAGAGGGGAGGGGGGCCCTGGACCTCACCGCGCCGGCTGCATAGCACTCCAGTTCATAAGCTAATTTCAACCAGGACACACGCTTCTCTGGCCTCAGTTTCCTAGGCGGTGTTTGCCTTCGTGGCACTCACTGCTGTGTTTTTGTGCTGTGTGATGGCCAGGTGTTCCCTCATCAGTACTGGGGCTGCATGCGCTTAGGGGCTTCCTTCCCTAAGCACCCTGTGAGTACTGCCCTTGGGTGTCAGGGTTATCTTCCCTGGGGCATTCAGAACCCATTCCCGTAGGGTTCTTGCTGCTTGGCATTTGCCTCACCCTTGGGGCCAGCTGGGGCTTGGGGCCCTTGTTTGGCCTTTGGTAGGGACTGGTATCATGCTGATTGGGGTGTCACGGTGTTGCACGATCTGCTACCTCCGCGGCGACCGGTTCCTGTTGCCTCTGGGGACAGTTTACTTTTGCAGGGTTTTCCTTTTCTTTTTATTTTCATTTGCTTGGTGGGGGTCTGCCTAGTGTGGCTATCATTCCACTGGTATTGTTTGGTGGCCCTCTGCTAGGTCCCTGTGATTGTACACGTCACAGGGGTTTTCAGTGTTAGCATCTACCCCTTGTTAGCTTTGTGTGTTAACCGGTTAGCGACACCTTGCCCGGGCTTCCCGTAGTCGTCATCCTACAGGCCCTGGAAAGCCCTGTCGGGGCTCGGTGGACCAGTGGATGTGTCTTCTGGGTTCCAACCTGTCTTGTGCGGGTTTGTTGGTTGCTGTGCTTTTGTCTCAGGGCGACTGTCGCCTATTTTACCTCCGTCATGCTGCCTGTTGGGTCACTGACACCTTGACCTGGAGTTGCGAGATGTTTTCTCTGTTCTCCAGTACTCTTCTGATGTCCTTACTGTTAAGAGTACAGGCGGCATCCGCGGTTTAGATTGCTGCAATGTGCTAGGTTGGTTTCCCACCCGGAAGCCCCGCGGCTGCCCCGTTTTGGTTAGTTGTTAGGCCCCTTTTCCCTCCCTGTTTCCGGCTCCTGACCGTCTGCGGGTTTCGGGGGCGGGGCGGGGTTTAGTTGGTGCCAAGACTCGAGGGGGTGGGGGGGGGGTGGCTTCGGGGGCTGCCCCATTCGGGTTGGGGATGGAGGTTTTCGAGCCCGTTCCTCCTGCTGAGGCTTCTGGGTCTTACCAGCAGCCCTTTCTTTGCTGCCTTTCCCCTGGACTCTTCCTTTTCTTTAAGGGCAGAGGGCGTGGTGGACGGCTTTGCCCTGGGGCCTCTGTTGTGGGTTCCCAGGGCTGTGGGGAATGCCTGCTAGCGGTTCTGGGGCTGTTTGCCCCTGCCTGGGCTTTCTGCTTCTGGGTGGGGTTCGTCGTCCCTCTCGTCTGCTTATTTCCCACATTTGCTGGTGTTTTTTTTAATCTCTTGCATCAGTCGCGGCTCCTTTGTTTTGGTGGCCATTTTCGCAGTGAGGCCCGGGGTTTCCCCCTCTCCCTCTCGGGGTGGGAAGGGCTGGGGAGGGCTGTGCGGCATACAATAAGAGTTTAATCCGTTCCTGGAGACGCCTCGCGTTCCGAAAACTCGCATTCGCGGCAGGAAAGGAAGATGGTGAGGAGGGGGGAGTGATGTTACCACTTCTTTTTCTAAATTTTTCAAACCAGCCCCTGTTTGCTTGTTTCCTTGGGATTGTAGGGAGTTTCTACCTCTCTGTTCGGTTTTTTACTGCCTACAAAGTTCAACAACACGTTTTCATGCTTCCGAGTTTTTTACCATGTGGGGCTTTCTTGGGACCCATGGTTTGTTTTCCAACAAAACACTGAAAATTATACCTACCTTTCTGGGTGCCTACCCCAGTCAATGGCAGATAAGGAAAACCTGCAACCACTGTATGTATGGGGTTTTCCAGGGCCATTGGGTTTGTTTTTTTATACTCCCTGAAACCTCTCTGAAGGGGCCAGGTTCTGGCGCTGGTCCCTGGTAGGTCTGAACTCCTTAGCTAATGTCCTGGTCTAATATAACATACATTAGCCCGATAAGCTCCAGGAAAAAAACCTAGAAAATGGCGTTTCATTACATTCAACGCTGTTTTTTTGGTAGCATAACAGGGTTACTCCTGCCACTTACCTGTGAATGAAGAACACATTCTTTCTGATTATGGGAAGATTTGGATTACTGGAATTCGGATTACCGAGCTCTTCCAATCATTTATTATTGATAAAGGTGTTTATAAAAATATGGGCAGAATTATGTCTTGGTATGTTAGCAGTAAGGTATTGATGTCAGAATGTAAAGGTACAGTAGTTGAAAATTAGTGATATTTTTGGAAAGCCGTTGCCGGTTTCTCGATTTTGTATTTACTTAAAATAAATTGTATTGGTTGATTTGACATCACTGCTTTCATACTGTATTTCTTATGGAAGAGACAATGACAATATTGTTTCACTATCATAGCCATGTTATTTGGCTTCTATTATCAGCTGCTCTATTAATTGTACTAGAAATGTTAAAAAGGGCATACATGAATACTGCATTTTAATATTCACAGGTTCTTGCTGTGTCTGATGTCATCATTTACCGGACACGCTCGGAAAGGCTCAACACTGATATGTACAAGTTTTTGGCAGAAGCCTCAAGAGCGTACACAAAGTAAGTTGATAAACAAGTTATGATAGTCCTTCATAAACTAGTTACGAAGGGCCCCTTCCATGCACCAAATAAAATTGAGTTCTGCTTATTGAAATCCAGAAGAATAAGTTTCTGCAGTTATAATATGAAAAGAAGTGCATATGGAAAGATGTTCTCCCATTTAACTGGTAAATAATAAAGCTGGTCTTTATTTTCTTGTTCCCAAGAGAGTGAAGTTCTGTTGTCACTTTCCATATATATTTAATTTTCATTTTTGTCTAATATAACCTAATATTGCAGGTACTTTCGTGCTGATTTGGAAGCAGTAGCCCGTAAAGCCGAGTGTGACTGTGTCTTTGGTCCTCCTGTGTTTATATTTCATGACACAAGACACACCAGTGTTCTCATAGAAGGTATTTTCATTCCTGCATTTAGTAACAGTATTAGTGTATTTGAATGTGGTAGAAGAAACTTGTATATGCAGTTACAGATTTTAAGTTTGATTTGATTGCTCATTTTAGAAAGTGGAGAATTAGCAACATATTAGGTGACTTTAAGTGAATATAATGTTGCTTACCTTTATTTTCTGTGGGGAGTCACTTTGGCTCCCTGGAGCTATCAGGCTTATGTGTGATATGTTAGACTGGGGCATTAGTCTATAGAGTTCGACCTATTGGGACCATGAGCCAGAACATGGCCCCCTGCTGTGGCTGAGGGTTTTCCTAATCTGCCATCGACCAGGGTTAGGCACCCAGAAAGGTAGGCATAACAAAACAAACCCCTCATGGTAAGAAAAGTACAAAGAAAAACAGAAAAGAGAGGCAGAATGCCCTCCAATTCCAAGGAAACAAGCAAATGTCACACTCTACTGCTGCGCCACTTGTCCGCGCAGCCCTTCCCTTCCTGAGAGGTGCAAGCCCTGGACCTTCCCGTGCCGGCTACCCAGTACTCCAGTTTCTTCAGTAATGCTGTCTGGGGTGGATGTCTTCTCTAGCCTCGATTTCCAAGGGGGTGTTTGCTTTCGTGGCAACCTCTGCAGTGTTGTTGTGTGTGGTGGCCAGGTGTCCTCATCAGTGCTGGGGCTCCATGCGCTTTGGAACATCCTTCCCTAGGCGCCCTGTGATTACTGCCCTTGCGTGTTAGGGTTCCCTTCCCTGGTGCATTTGGAAAAACCATTTCCGTAGGGCTTTTTGCTGCCTGACAGTTTCCCTGCATTTTGAGCCAGCTGGGGTTTCGTGGCTCTTGTTTAGCCTTGGGTAGGGAGTGGTATCGTGCTGGTTGGGGCGTCAAGGCGTTATGCAGCCTGCCTTCCTATGCGGCGGCCTGTTTCTGTTTCTTCTAGGGACATTGTACTTTTGCAGGGTTTTTCTTATGTTTTTGTTTTTCTTGTCTGGTGGGGGGTCTGCCTGGTGTGGCTATGGTTCCACTTCTAATAATTTTGTACCAAACCCAACCCAGAGGTCTACCCTCTGGGTTGGGTTTGGCTTGACAGTCTGTTCTGGTTCCTTCGGGTATGCCCCTTCTGCTTCTCTTGCAATCGCTGGGTTTGTACTCTGGGGGCCCTGGCGTTGGTTGCTGCATTACTGGCTTTCCTCTGTGGTTTTCAGGGTTCAGTGCCTTGGCACATCCCTGAGCCCTCATTCGATGTGTTTACAGACACGTTGTCTTTCGGCTGGGGCTTTGTGACCAGTGCTCACCAGGCTGACCAGGGGCAAAGGGGTCCGTCCTTCCATCAGACTCGCAGCACAGTGCGGAAGTTCGTGGCGTTTTGGCTGTTGCTTTGGATGGATCGGGTCATTCAAAGTTCGACTGTCAGGCTTCATTCGGACTGTTCTCTGGTGGTTCGTTGCCTGAACCATGGGGGGTTCTCTTTGGGGCTGGTCGCTTCGAGTGGCTTGTCTACTGGCTTCGCGGGGTTTGGCTCTCCATGCGGTTCATATTCAGAGAATGTCCAGTGTCTTGGTGGACAGCCTGTCTCGGTTCATTCCCCTGTCCACGGAATGGACTTTTGATGCCGACTCTTTCCTTTGGCTCTGCCAGACATACGGATCTGTTCGCACCGGTGTGGTCTCGGCGTCTCCCGATTTATGTGGCGCCCTTCCCCAACTTTGCTAACTTCCCCAACAGTACAGGGGTTACCTGTACCTCTTTCCCCTGGTTCAACTGTTGCTTCGGGTTCTGGCTCAGTTGGAGTCCTACCAAAAGAAAATAGTCCTTGTGGCCCCTCGGTGGCTGGCCCAGCCTTGGTTTCAGGCTCTGCTTGCTCAGTGTGTGAACCTGGAACATTTTCCATGGCTCTGCCTCTTCCAGCGGGTTGGACTGGTCCGGTAGACAGCTACTTCTGTCTTCTCCTCCGCTCTTCGTGTCTGGTCTTTTTGACGCGGGTTTATCTTTAATTTGGCTTTTTCAGGACCGTCATTTTTTTTTTTTTTTTTTTTTTGTGATATATACAAGAGTTGTTACATTCTTGTACAGCCACTAGTACGCGTAGCGTTTCGGGCAGGTCCCTGGAATACGATCCCCTGCCGAGAAGAATTGTTTTTTCATCCAAGTACACATTTTACTGTTGCGTTAAACAGAGGCTACAGTTAAGGAATTGCGCCCAGTAAATCCTCCCCGGCCAGGATACGAACCCATGACATAGCGCTCGCGGAACGCCAGGCGAGTGTCTTACCACTACACCACGGATTTGATGCCTAATGCTGTCGCCTCGTATCGTGCAGCACTAGCAGAGCCACTCCAGCTTGCATTCAGGGTGGATGTCTCTTCGGCCCCGTTCTGTAAGATTTCTCATGATTTGTTTTACCTCCAGCCTGCTCATGTGCCACCTGAGCCATCCTGGTCCTTGGACAAGGTGTTATGCTATGTTTCCTGTCAGCGGATTATGGTGGCCTCTTCGTTTCAAAATGTTTTTCCAAGGCTCTGTTTCTGTTGGCATTGGCCTCTGGGGGTCGGGTCGGTGAGCTTCATTCTCTCCTTCGGTGCAGGGGTTTCAGGTCTTTTGGTCCTGGTGGTTTGTTTGTTAGGTTGTAGCTTTCTCCTTTTCTGGTGAAGAACAAGACGGCTGCTTTTCGGCAGAGGGGTCCTTGGGGTCATCGATGCTTGGTTGGTCAGGTTGGGGTGCATCATGTACAGTACTGTGTTCGATTGTGGCTCTTCTCCATTATCTGCGCACTTCGGCTTTGGTGGATGGGGATGTGCTTAGGTTGATCCAGTTTCCCTCATTCCATGTTCCAGGGCTCGGGTCTCCCAGGTTGTCCGCAGGGTTATTAAGTAGCCATCCTGCGGTCTATCCTCATGCCCATGACGTTAGGAATTTTATTGTATTGGCTGCCATGTTTGGAAACATGTCCTGGGCTGATATACGGGCGCGGGGATTTTGGAGGTTGAACAAGGTCCTGGCCGCCCATTTTTTAGTTAACGTTCCTGCTCCTTGGAGTTCCTGTGTTGCTTCGGGTCGCAGGTTGCAGCCAGTTGTCTTAACTTCGCGTTAAGGAGTATGTGACAGCAGCTTCCCGGGTAAGTCCCTCTTTTCCTTCTCTTTGGTGATGTAGCTCCAGGGAGCCTAAGGGGATCCCCAAAGAAAACCAGCATTGAATGTAATGAAACTCCATTTTCTGGGTGAGACCTGGAGGCTTCCAAGCAACCCTCCCTCCCTCTGGTCGACAGTCTTTCGTGTTGTTTGATGCTTAGCTTCCGAACTGGAGTACTAGGTAGCCGGTGCAGGAAGTTCTAGGGCTCCCTCATCCTCCTCTCGGGGAAGAGAGGGCTGTGCGGGCGAATGACGCGGCAGTGGAGTGTGACATTTGGTTATATGTTTGTTTTCATGGGATTGAAGGGAGTTCTGCCTCTCTGTTCAGTTTTTCTTTATATTTTTCTTACCATGTGGGGTTTGTTTTGTTATGCCTTCCTTTCTGGGTGCCTAACCCCAGTCGATGGCAGATAATGCAAGTCCCAATCATAGGGGAGTTTTCCAGGGCCATTGCTCCCTCCAACATCTCCGAGTGGGGCAGGTTCTGGCTTGTGGTCCCCAGTAGGTCGAACTCCAAAGACCAATGTTCTGGTCTAATATATCACACATTAGCCCAGTAGCTCCAGGGAGGCTCTGGGGCTCACCAAGAAAATAGCATTTCATTTTTCATTACATTCCACACTGGTTTTTTCTTTTATATTCAGTATATTGTTAATGTTATAAATGGGACAGTTACAAATTAACTACATGATTAACTGCCAAGATCATGATACATTTATCACACCAGACCTGTGCTTTAATGGCCTACACGCTAAGACATAGTCTGCCAAATCAATCACATCACCATATCATTTCTTCATTATTTCCTGGAGCATTTTTTTATTGAGAAAGCATAACACATGGTAAATATGTGCTATTTGTTGTATATCCGTATTTTTATATACGTACAGTATTTGTTTTTCAGCCATAAAATTACCAAGTGGTAAGATGGACTGGCAGTCACCTGGCCTTTAGATTGAAATCTTTCTAGCGGGACAGTGTTAGTTTTTAATTAAATTAAACTAGTTTTCAGAGTAACCGTGTATCTCTAAAATTGAACGTGTCTGTCAGACATGTCTTTAAACCAGCATTGTATTAATGTTTTGGTTTTTGATGTCGGTGACAGGAAGCGGGTTAGGCTTATCAAGGTCCTGCTAAATCAATTAATGATTTTTTCCAGGATGCAACCCGCAAAAGTTCCCTAACAAGCATTCCAAGGATAGCCAACACTACTTGTCTGGAAGCTTGACATTGAATGTGAGCCCAGCAGAGATATGCAACTTTAGCTGACCACACGAGTGAGTGAAGTTGTCAGCTGGTAGGGACTGTAGTTGACCTGAGCTGCCATCTTGTGGTGGTCATGGCTGAGGTGTTTGCCATGCCAACAATGATTGCCAGATTTTACTCTGGGCTATTGATTTCCTTCAAGGAGTTGCATATGTTAATGTGCTTATAATACTTTCTGGTGGGCTTTTTTCTTGGTTTTGGCTTGATTTCTGATCTGCAGAAGCTACTATGCTTCTTAGAAAACCAGATTCTGATGCTGGCTGTTGGTAGGCTCGAGTTCGTCTTGGAGGCCTGGTGTGAGTCCCTGAGGGTTGGCAGTCCCAGTGCTATAGTTTTGAGGAGCTTGAGGAGAGCCCCTCCCAGAAACCTGTAATTCAACTATATAAACAAAAATAAATAGAATACAATATGTTGGTTTCTGATGGTTTTATGTTCATGAATCTTGTCTTTGTGATTAGTGGATTCTTTCCTTAAGAAGCTACTAGAAGACTTTGATGAGAAAGGTGGTTTTTATATTTTGTCTGCCATATTTTTAAGTCTTGCTTTAATAAAGCTAGCACTTCAAATGCTTAGAGGGGTGGCTGTAAATATTTTGCTGTTCTTCATTTATGGGAAATATATAATTCTGAGTAAGGGGTTGATATAATTTATAAAATTCAAAAGTTTATTGAATGGTATTTACTTGTTTCAGAGGCGGGCCAAAAACCAGAAGAGCAGTTGAAAGAAAATTTCACCAGACAAAACCTCAAAATTGATGGGTTTAACAGCTTACATTATATTGGTGAATGCAACAATGGAAGTGAAACTGACTTCACGCGAATTAGAAACGCTGTGATTGAAGAACTACAGAACAATGGTATCCGATCACCACGCCGACCTAAAATTGTCCTTGATATGCTAGAAGTAAGTATTAACATATGACAGAACTAACAAGCATTTCCACTGTTATGCTGATTGAGGGGTGTAGTAAAATGTTGTTGTACGGTTCACACAGGAATAGAGAGAGAGAAAATCAGAATTTGAGTGACTAAAAAGCTCCTGTGTAAATCATTCTGATGCCTTCCAAGACAAACTCATAAGTCCATAATGGATATCATCATGATAGCAACAACTAGGTGGCACTCTGTACCGAAATTACAAGGATCATTTCAAACGATCTTCCAAAGTCATACTGTGACCTCAGTCTTTGTGGTGTAGTGGTAAGACACTCTCCTGGCGTTCCACGAGCGCTTTGTCATGGGTTTGTATCCTGGCCGGGGAGGATTTACTGGGCGCAAATCCTTAACTATAGCCTCTGTTTAACTCAACAGTAAAATGGGCACTTGGTTGTAAAAACGATTCTTCGTGGCGGGGATCGTATTCCAGGGACCTGCCCGAAACGCGACGCGTACTAGTGACTGTAGAAGAATGTAACAACTCTTGTATATATCTCAAAAAAAAAAAAAAAAAAAAAAAAAAAAAAAAAAAAAAAGATATGGAAGAGAAACTGGGCCCCATCCTAGAGTTATTAAGAGCTCACTCATGAATTCTCAAAACCTTTCTAATCTCTACTTGGCATGAGGACACAGCCAACAAGACTATCCAGCTGTGACAGGATCAGCCCATCCTCTGAATAGACAGTACGTTTTTATACTAAATGTAATAAGTACAATCCTGAGTACAATAAGCATGGTACATAAATACACTTAATCACCAATATCGCACCCAAATATTGTGAATATTAGAGTTTACCTGAAAAGCTGTATAGAAAACCACGACCTAACCTAACCTTGGGAGTGTAGGAGGACAAGCATGTAAATAGCATTTATTGCTTCTTAATTACAATTAGTACTTAACCTATAGCTATATTGATATTACAATTTTATAAAACTAATAAAACAAAACTGAAGTCTTTCATTAAATTATAAAGTAACTCAGGATATTTTCAAATTTTGTATAAAATCTCTATTGTTTAATAAAGCTGAAAAAGAAATTCTTTGTATTTTAAAACTTGTGTATATTAAACACGAAAACATCAACCTAAAAATTTTGAGTGTATTAACAGAAAATGAGAAGAATATATGGGGAGGTAAATGTAACAGCAAAATTAAGTGTATTTATGTACTATGCAGACAGTCAGGAATGTACTTATTACATTTAGTATTAAAATGTACTGTCTATTCGGAGGAAGGGTTTGACAGGATAGGGAAAATCATCTCGACTTAAGGAAACATTGCAATTTTTCTAGTCATTTTTTTTAATTTACCTGTTAATTTCATTGGGTGCAAGGTCTTGAGACGCAATCTTGTCTTTATGACAGTTTCTGCCTTCTATTTAGACTTCATTCAATATGCCGTACATAATACTTTCATATTTTGTACATCGTAATGTTTGAAATAGTATTGAAATTATTTCCACTTTCAGACTATAAATAGAAAATTTAGTGGGCAGATCCAGAGTAGCGAACCTGCATTTCCAGATGAATACTTTACCTGCACAAGTGTTTGTGCAGCTTGTCAGGCCCGCTGCTGTCTCTTCATGAATCATGCAACACATGACGACGGCTCTAAGGACCATGAAGCTGAACGCCAGTGTAAATATCACCATCAGTTTGAGAACAAGGTAATACTGCAAGACTTTGTTAGTAGTACGTAAGTTGTATTTCACACGTACAGTATGTATTGGGAATTGGTGAAAAATGTCGTAAGTTATAGACCAAGGGTGATCTCTCAAATGAGCAAGACTTCTGGAGCTTGAGGAGGATCTTATTAGGTTAAAATGTGATGTACCTGAATAAAAAAGACAAAATAAGAAAGTGGACAGAAAAACCAAAGTTGTATTTTATGTGAGCAAATAAATTCCTACAATATTTTTAGTATATTTAAAGTATGCTGTGATGTTTTGTACTTCATAACATTGTGTAAATATCATACATAAATTCAAATATGTATTTATTTAAATAAATATAATACTGTGTGTATTTGACTTGGTGGAGAAAGTCAGTCTAACATGGGAATCATTTTTCTGGAATTACTACATCAGCCTTTCCTAGTTGTGTATGTGTGAATTGAGCTCCAGCTTTTTTGGCCCCATTTCTTAAGCTTGAATTGACTTGTGATGACTTCCTAACCATCCTAACCACATGGGTACAGTTGAATCTGTTGTATGTATTACGTCTCTGTTACTGTAAGTTTTTTTTTGTGTGTGAATAGAGTAAGGGGCAATACATTGCATTAGCCAGATACAGTAATTATCTGTTGTAAAATTTCTGACAAAAAAAGGAAAATTCACTTCAAACTATACTTTTCTTCAAATTTTTTCAGGTGTTCCTGTGCCGGAAATGTGACAGTGAAGGAGAGAGACGAATTGTAGTCCCCAAGACTTCATCGGCTAAAGACAATACATGGCTTGGCCTTGCTAAATATGCATGGGCAGGGTAAATATGGAAATTCTGTTAACAGATTTATTAAATATTTTATAGCTAAATAGTCATATGATGATGTCAATAAAACTCTTTATACACGTGGAGGTCAGAGGACAGTGAGCATGATACGTAGTAAGTCATCACAAAAAAAATACAATACATTTCGTGAGTATATCACTAAAAAAATATTAGTCTCATCATCTTTTTCATTACTGTGAAAGTTTGCACATCAACAGCACTGCTTGGCTGCAATTGCCAGTTTCAGGATTGGAATTGCTATAATACTGACATAATGCTTATCACTTATTCTCGTATTCTAATTTCTCCATTAATTCTTGTTGAACAGTGTTGTCACAGCTTTATTTTCTGAGCAATTGCATGCAGTGGCTCTCAAAGGTATAACTCCTAGTGTTGTTGAAAGGATGAATGTACAGTTTGGCAGGATGAAATTTTAGGCACCGGTGCTTCAGGGAACTTTTCAAATGTATCTGTGCAAGGAAATCATTGAAAAACTGCAGATGTGATATGCTGTAACTGCCAAAAGAACTTTTACAGTGCTGAGCGTAAATTTTGTTAAAATGCTTCTCTACATTAATTTGATTTAAAATTGGAGGCAATATCAAATTAATACTATGATAATAACATAACACGCCTTCATAATGATCCATAGATTCCATGTTTAAGAAATAGTTTTATAAGGAAAGAATTAGGTCTGGAATGCTGAAATTGGAAGATAGAAGCAAAAGAGAGGCTTTGATAACCATATGCAATATTGTAAGTGGATTTAAGATAAAGATTTTGTTATTGTAAATCAGCAGAACTGGAGGTCATTGTTTTTAACAACAGAAGGATAGGTATAGATAATCTAGCAGGAAGTGCTTTTTGAAGTTGGTGATGGCTGGAATAATCTCATGGAGGAGAGTGCATAGTTTATTAAATTAAACAAGGAAGAAAGAACACCAAGCCAAATTACACAGTTAATGGCTCTCTGCCATTAACTGTGTAATTTGGCTAATCTGTTAATTAAATTTTAAATATTTACATTAGATAAAATCAAAGAAATATCTTTGCTGTTCTTGGCAGTATAGTACAGCATACTTATATTTGACTCACTTTTCAACACTTGTCAAATTTTATATTGGTTTTCTTTATTGAACAATGTTAATTGCCCTAAAAAAAAGGTATTGGAGAGTTCTGCAGATCATTCACAAATATGTCTGCAGGTTTATGTCGAATGTTGGAACTGTACATACAGTAGTAGTTTGTGACTTGCATCTCTCAGTTTGTGACTTGCATCTCTCAGTTTGTGACTTGCATCTCTCAGTTTGTGACTTGCATCTCTCAGTTTGTGACTTGCATCTCTCAGTTTGTGACTTGCATCTCTCAGTTTGTGACTTGCATCTCTCTCAAGATGCATATTTCAGATCACACTTTTAGCATTGATTTCAAACAAAATATCTTAATTTAGTACAGTATTTTTTATAAAAGGAAGCTTCTGTTGGAGTTAACTGTTCATTTTTATAAAAAAAAGTCACTATGCAGTTGAATGAACTCTGAATGATTATTTAATTATCAATACAGACTAAGCATGTAATACATTTTTCTTCTGTTCGTGCTTATAATCCCTAAACTTAGTAACTAATTACTAAGTAATCAGTGCTTCATGCTAGGTCTCTTAAACTCTTAGATATGTGTTGGAGTGTGAGAAGTGTGGGATAATCTACCGAAGCCGTCAGTACTGGTATGGAAACGAGTCTCCTGACAGATGTGTGGTGAAAGAAGAGTATCAGCATGTGTGGTCTGGCACTATCATTGGAGGGGCAGCACATGCTGGAAGACAGGTATATACTGTAATGGTACTGGCATTTTAAGAAGTGTTGTAGTTTGGTGTTAAACCCTCTTCATTACTTGTCTCTCATAGCAATGTTTCCTGTAACAATTTCATAAATTGTAATGAATTTTTGTTATCTTAATTGCTTAATAAACAAACCTAACACTCCAAGGTTCTGGAAGGTGTGGCGGCTCTGGGATCGGCTCTATCAACAATATCGGCTCCTCCAGCAAAAGTCGTTTCGTCCTGGCTCACAAACCAAGTTAATCCAGCTTATTGGACACCAAATCATTTGTGCACAGTTAGTTTATTATTTGATTTTGGAAGATAATGTATGATATTGTCATTCTTCTTTATATTCATTAATTAAAATAATAATTGTTACACACAAAAATCACAATAGCGTGATACATCAAATGAGCAAATTCACAAGGGCCATGATGAGGGTTCGAACCTACGTTCGAGATGATCCCAAACGCGCCTTAGTCGACTGTGCCACGACATGGAAAAGAATTGCAACCGGGAGTGCTACTGCTTTCACACGGATCCCGCGGCCTCTCTGAGACACAAACCAGGGTTTTACACAGGTTTGTGTCTCGGAGAGGCTGCGGAATACGTGTGAGAACAGTAGCACTCCCAGTTGCATTTCTTTTACCATGTCGTGGCGCAATCGACATAGGCGCGTCTAGAATCATCCTGGACGTAAGTTCGAATCCTCATCACGGCCCTTGTGGATTTGTTCATTTAATAATTGTTCTTTGTATTTAGTCCATAACCTGACTGCCATGGCATACCATTACATAATATTCTGAATCTAAACTATATCTTTATTTAACAATAGAATTAATTCCATCTCTTATTCTAGCATTGTAAGATGTGCAGAGAGCTTCTTGACACCATTCACCATTGTCGCAAGTGTGGTGAAGGGTTTTGTGATAGCTGTTCAGATGTCAAGATGCCTGTGCCTGAAATGGGATGGGGCGAGGAGCCAGTGAGAGTGTGCAAAAATTGCTTCAAAAATGGAAATGGCCAAATTATTGGAAATGAAGGTTAGTAATGGAAGGCAAATTTGTGTGTGCGAATAATAAATAAATAAATAAATAAATATATATATATATATATATATATATATATATATATATATATATATATATGTATATATGTATTTTGTTTTTCTCTGTGTGTCGCTGCGGCTCCCGCCGTGCCGGCAGAGAGGGTGATGTATGTCGTTGCCAGGGTGGATACGCAAGTATAGTCCCATGCTAACTGCCTGCCACCCTTCCACGGACGCAGTGTGATTCCGTCTGGTCGGCCGGCAAAGCTAACAGAGTCACGGTTCAGTAGGTTGCGGGGCTCTCTCTCCGCTGGACACTGAGCAGAGGCAAGGCTTCTTTTAATGATGTCGTTGACTTCGTCGTGTCTAGTGTGCCAACCACCCGATTTTCCACAGTGCAGGCCATGCAATCCATATTCGTCAGCATCTGCCTCGCCGCAAATACACCTGTGAACAGTGTGGATAGGGGCAGCAAGGCGGAGAGCGACTGCAATACGGAGCTCCTGCGGATCAAGACGTGTGCCTGTCGCAGACATAGGGACTGCCAGAAGGAAGTCCCCTGCATGGGAGCCTGCACAGCTGTGAGGCGTGCACGATCACTGGGGGTTGTCGCTGCCTCCAGCAAAGCTGTGGCTTCTTTGTCTACAATGGGGCTGTCCCAACTGGATTGTTTCTTGGCTTTCGGCATGGCTGGTCTGAGTGCTGGGTCTGTCATGGCACCCCATTTCGTGTCGCATTCCGTGTAGTGGGGGTCCTGTATCCCCGCTACATCACTCAGGGTGTCAGGTAGAATTTCCTTAACCAGGTCATCTGATGCTGAGGAGGAAGACAGGAAGGCTGGGACAGCAATTTGGGTGGCGGTGCGGACACCCAAGCCACCGAGCCTGACAGGAAGAGTGGCTTGTTTCCACTGGCATTCGTTGAGGGAGAGGTTAACAACTTTTTCCAGCATGGTCTTCAGTAGGAGGTCATACTCGTCAAGCTTTGGGTTGTTGTAAGATGGGGCGCACCTCAGAAAGTAGGTTAGCCTCGGAAGGGATAGGCATTTGGTGAGGAGATAAAAGCATCGTGGGCATCGATGTCACCTATTCTGTCTTCCATCCTCCTAAGGTCTGCGATTTTCTTGTCGAGGATCTCCTCAATGGCGTTAGACCCGAGGGGAGCTCCAAGGAGGGTGCTGTTCTCGGCCCTAATGACATGGGCTCCAGGCAAGGCAGACCTTATTCTAGCTACGATGTCTGGGTTGGAGGAGACTACTTCACACTTGGAAGGGTTCAGGACGAGACCCAGGCTTACTTCTTGCTCCCTTATTTTCCTGATATCTGCCAAGAGGTGGTCTACGGTGCCAGCTAGAGTGCCATCATCCAAAAACCAGATGTTGAACTCGCTGGACAAGCTTTCGGTGATTTCTTTTAAGACTAAGCAGAAAAGAAGGGGAGCAAGAGGATCACCTTGCTGAACACCTTCACATGATCTGATTTCATGTTCACCAAAGAGCAGTTTTGACTCGCCACTGTAGCACGATAGTATGAACGGGTAGAGGGGCCGGAAATGGCGATGTACGGCACAAAGTACTGCATCTCTTCTTACCATGTTGAAGGCATTCTTGAAGTCCAGTTTGAGCAGGGCCTTTTCATCAGAAATGTTGGTGATGTATGCTCGTGCTGCATGGGCAGCCGCTTCACAGCCTTGGGGGATTCCAAATCCTAGCTGGATTGGTTTCAGCAATTCAGCCGCTTGCTGGCTGACAACCCTCGTAGCAGCCTTGGCAATCAGGCGTCGGAGAGTGTTGCCAACAGCGATTGGCCTGATTCCTTCGTCCTTCTTTTTGAGAGCACAGAGGGAGGCACCAAAAAAGAGAGGCCTGATGACCTCAGGTATCTCACCAGCCAGACACATGTTGACGAACCTTGTGAGTTCCATAAGAAGATCTTGTGCAGCATCACCAACCGCAGGATTTAACATTTGCTTGATATGTTGAGGTTTTAACCCTGTAAAGCCGCCTGCTGACCCAGGTGGAAAAGAAAGGGCTGCTTTGTAGACCTCAGATTCACCAACGGTTAATGGGTCTGAAATGGTGTCGGCTGATGGCGGAACGATGTTGTCGCCTTGAGGGGCTCTGGGTGGGTGCTTGCTTTGCAGGGCCCGTGCTGTGGCTGAGTTTCGAGGAGCAATTTTCTCGTCACTGGTGAGGACTCTAATAGCACTTGCGGTATTTCCCTCTTCAATTTTCTTGGTGATTTGTGCTCTGATTTTGTACGTTTCCGGTATGTTGTCGTTACCATTTCTGCGGTGGGTGTGTTTTGCTCGGAGAGGCAGGCGAACTAGGTTGTCCCCCCTTGGGTATTCATTTATCGCCCTCAGGACCGAGGAAGCAAGTGATTTGTCCCTCCTTGGAGGGACGTTGAGGCATACATTGCCAAACAGAAGGACATTATGCCACGCTTGAATGTTTTCCGGTGCATCATTGACCCTTTTCAGAAGATTACAAAGTTTGGCTGCTGCATTTGGGCGGGCTGCTTTTGGGATGTGTGGTAATGTTCTAGCAGACGTCGCTATGATCGCTTGGGTGAGGTTCTCAGATGAGATTAGGTTAATGGGAGTCTCTTCCCTAACTGTTAATGGCAGCTGGCCATTGCTTCCCTTCGGAAGCTGGTGGGAACCACTGCATCTTTCGTCGTTGAAGGTGTGAAAGCGGATAACACCACCGGTGGAGTTTATGGCGGTGTTTTTGTTGCATACTCGGCAAAACCTCTTTTAGGAGCAGTTGTTGGCACCTCAAGGCTTGTGGAGTCCTGCCCGACCGCTGGGACCCCTTCCATTTCAACTCGGTTGGCAGAGTTAAACTGTGCATTATTCTATAGAGGGGAGCAAACACACTGGGTCATGGCCAAGCAACTGGGTGTGGAGCCAGCAACTGGGTGTGGAGGCATCAACTGGTGTGGAGCCAGCAACTGGGTGTGGAGGCATCAACTGGGTGTGGAGCCAGCAACTGGGTGTGGAGCCAGCAACTGGGTGTGGAGGCATCAACTGGGTGTGGAGGCATCAGCTGGGTGTGGAGGCATCAACTGGGTGTGGAGGCATCAGCTGGGTGTGGCGGCATCAGCTGGGTGTGGAGGCCGCGGCCGGGTGTGGAGGCCGCGGCTGGGTGTGGAGGCCGGTGGGGCGAGGGTCAGCTCAGGTAGTGAGGTGCGGGGGGGGGATGGGGTCGGTTTGGGGAGGGGAGGCGTGTTATCGAGTGGGCTATACACATGACACACAATATACATTCATATATATGTACACAGGGTATGTATGACACTGAGAATATGGGGTTGGCACTTTGTTATATGTATGACACTATAAACTGGGTTGACACTTTGTGGTGTGTATGGCACTGAGTATCGGAGTTGGCACTTTGAGATGTATATTTCACTATGGCACTATATATACATGGTATTCACTTTGTATGTCGGGGCCGCAAAGTATACACCAAACAGACAGAAATTGTTCACTATCATTCACTGAGCCCACGAGGGAGGTGGAGGGGTGGTGTGGTGGTGAGGGCAGTTTGAAATGCGGCCACTACCAGCCTCCTCCGCCTGACTGGTGAGTGGGTGTTCCTAGTGACGCCTTACTCTAAGGTTCACTTTCCCTCACGCGCCTCCCTCCGCCCCCGCCCTTCCCCATCCCGCCCCGGCCGTTAAGGTGGTAGGCCTCCCTCACTGGCACTGTTGCTGGTGTGTTCAAGCTTGACAAACAGGAGAATATGTACAGGAATATGTATATATATGTATATATATGTATATATATGTATGTATATATATATATATATATATATATATATATATATATATATATATGCAAACAAGACTGAATGGTCCCCAGGACTATATACAACTGAAAACTCACACCCCAGAAGTGACTCGAACCCATACTCCCACAACTGGTATGTACAGGGACGCCTTAATCCGCTTGACCATCACGACCGGACATAAGGAAGTGATAGCCGAGGCTATATGAACCACTTCCCCGCCGGCACTCGGATGGTAATCTTGGGCATAGCATTTTATCAAATCACCTCATTCTTTGGGGCACACGTGAGGAACACAAATGCAAACAAGCCTGAATGGTCCCCAGGACTATATACAACTGAAAACTCACACCCCAGAAGTGACTCGAACCCATACTCCCACAACTGGTATGTACAGGGACGCCTTAATCCGCTTGACCATCACGACCGGACATAAGGAAGTGATAGCCGAGGCTATATGAACCATATAGCCTCGATGGTCAAGCGGATTAAGGCGTCCCTGTACATACCAGTTGTGGGAGTATGGGTTCGAGTCACTTCTGGGGTGTGAGTTTTCAGTTGTATATAGTCCTGGGGACCATTCAGGCTTGTTTGCATTTGTGTTCCTCACGTGTGCCCCAAAGAATGAGGTGATTTGATAAAATGCTATGCCCAAGATTACCATCCGAGTGCCGGCGGGGAAGTGGTTCATATAGCCTCGGCTATCACTTCCTTATGTCCGGTCGTGATGGTCAAGCGGATTAAGGCGTCCCTGTACATACCAGTTGTGGGAGTATGGGTTCGAGTCACTTCTGGGTGTGAGTTTTCAGTTGTATATAGTCCTGGGGACCATTCAGGCTTGTTTGCATTTGTGTTCCTCACGTGTGCCCCAAAGAATGAGGTGATTTGATAAAATGCTATGCCCAAGATTACCATCCGAGTGCCGGCGGGGAAGTGGTTCATATAGCCTCGGCTATCACTTCCTTATGTCCGGTCGTGATGGTCAAGCGGATTAAGGCGTCCCTGTACATACCAGTTGTGGGAGTATGGGTTCGAGTCACTTCTGGGGTGTGAGTTTTCAGTTGTATATAGTCCTGGGGACCATTCAGGCTTGTTTGCATTTGTGTTCCTCACGTGTGCCCCAAAGAATGAGGTGATTTGATAAATGCTATGCCCAAGATTACCATCCGAGTGCCGGCGGGGAAGTGGTTCATATAGCCTCG